TGACCTACAGACAACACCCCGCATTCCAACACTACCGTTGATGTGGCTAACAAAGAAATCATGAAGGCTTGATAAGAAGTTTTGTCATGTTCGTGGGACTGTTGTTTCACGGCGCGTGGAAATTTATGCTGAGACTGGATTAAAATTGGATGAAATTTCTACTTTCTCATCAGGACTATCACGAAATGGCAAAGATTCTATCACTCGACACCTACGTAGATTCTCAGCTTGCCGGAATTATGAAAAATTGTCCAAAGCACGTTCAATGACGAATTTTGCTATCTCGTATCAAGGGAGAATTGATTAATAGAGTGAAATGCACGTCAAACCGTGAATGACAATAAGCTTCATAGAAGCGTCACATAAATAAAAATCTTTGGGAATACAATTATTCGTCAAATTCCACGCCTTCAAATTTTGTTCCGTCTTTTCACTTCTCATGGTGCGACATACAATCTTGCCTAACTTGAAAATTAAATATTCTTAGTTGCTAAAACGCCAAAATCAAAGATCACTGTTGGAATTTCATATAAGAAGATAATAGTTGAGAAAAAAAAGCTTGTGAAATCTTGTTTATATCAGGTTTCGTGAGGAAAAAGTTTGCGTTTCGTAGGCTTTGGTAAGACCATTGATATATCACATTTCAAACGCTTGTGAAATCTCCTTCATCGATACAGGGACCAAATAGCATTCAAAACATATAGCAGTCATCAAACCGAATAACTGCTTTTTTCTCTTATCTCATAAACTTTGATTATTAATGTATCTTCTTTTAGATAGTCACTATGGTTATTTGTTGCGCAGTGAATTCACACCAGCCTGGTCGTGCTTCTCACTACTAGCTGGCCGATGCATTCGCGTAAGAATAGCCAGGTTCTGCTTCAAACTCTGGCCGGCCGTGTGTCCCTGCAACACAATGAATCGTGCCTTCCAATTGGTAGCCAAGAGATGCTTTCACAGAATTTGGCCAGTGTTGGGGTTGACCGCTGTTCACAGTCTAAACCGAAACAGAATCTTGGGACGATTAATGCCCATAGCAGTACCATTCGTCACAGACACTACTTGGAGGTCTGCTGCGTCTTCCACATCTCTTGGCTCTGGATCGTCCTGCCCATAGCGTACCGTAGTTCATGCCGTTGTATAATTTCTATGTGTATAGTTACTGCTCCTTCCAATCTGTAGCTCCTCTCATTGATCTAGAGATCAGGGGTACGGAGCATTTTGCACTTAGGCTCACATCTAATGCATAATCATGAACTGTTAACTTGCATTACATGTCATGATTGTTGTTTCTTCAATTGAATTATGTTGTAGTCACTATTTGCTATAGGGTTGTTCGTTAAGGCGATGAATATGTTTTGTTGGTCTCACGATAATACTTTTCGTCGTGAAATAATAATGAAATACTCGCGTGGCAGGAATAATCAATGCAGTTGAGTGACTTATCCGGCACACAACACATACCCACTCGCAGACACCAAAGCCTAACTACTCTGATACAACACCAATAGAACTAAAACAATCCAAAGTACTCTCCGCTAAAAAGCCAGTACAAATACATGTTTATATATCATTTCACTGAATGACTCAAAGACAATTGAGGACTCAGATTTTACCAAGACACGAGAAAGTAAAGTTAAAAACATGTAGAATTTGCTCGTAAGAGTCGATAACGGCATCGAGTTATTAGGTTCTGTCTTGAGTCACAAGATTCCACACTTTGATAGAATTGCTTATGTATTAAGGCATCAATGTAAAGTTGAAGTTGTTAAGAAAGCGAATTAGGTGGCGCAGAGCAAAAGCTTTCTTGCTCACCTTCTTAGACGTGCAAAGTTTTTCATCATGGTGGATGTTTACAGAACGCCGTGAAAATGAAAGAAACGAAAACGGAAACAGTCTCCACGGAAAATCACTTTTACAGAAGAAAAAAACCGCCGCTGGCGAAGGGAATCACCTAAAGGCACGACGCTTGCGGAAATCAACCACATACTTGCCAACAGAAGATGGTGCTTGCTCGACACAGCCGTAGTACTATTATTCTCTACTTGGTCCGATCACCACCTTCATCGAGCAAAGATACGATTTAGCCGTAAGCTGCAAAAGAATTCATGTCATCGACCAGGAGAAGTCGATAAGCCGTTTTCGACGAGCACACTCTTGACGAAATCCTATCCAGCCATGACTGGCAGATTGAGGATGATCCGACCGACGACTACGAGCTAATTATCGAATAACTCGAAAGTTGTGCCGACTTGGCTACAGTTAACTCAATCCAGATTAGCCAATAGCATCTTTTTCACCGCGAAGGAGTTGTTCGAAAAGTCAAGGAAACCCAAGCCCTATCTCATGTAGCACGTCCATCACGGGTAATATCAAATGCCAGCTGTAGAAGAGCGCTGCCAGGACGATCTACATCGGCAGCGGAAGAAGAAATTGTTAGAAGCAGCTCAAAAGGACTCATATGCCTTTCAAAAGATTTATATGCCATTCAAAACAACGCTGTGGAAGAACACTGTTCCCTTGGCCTCAAATGAAACACTATAGTGAAGCCCGATGAGCTCGCTAGCTTAGCATTGTGCCGAAATGAAATCAAAGTTGAACACTATAGCGTAACTATCTTGTTGCCTAGCAATTCAAATAAGGCGATACGAAATTTTTCATCATGAAAATAATACAACGCGGAATTGCCTTTTCAACTTCAAACAGCGTTTACTCATATCATTATCAATAATTCAAAAGCGCTGACAGTGCTTTCAATTTGTAATTCACTAAGCAAACGAAACAGAAATCATTACGTCTTTACACGGTGATTTGACTCCAACTTATTTGGAATGAATGGTATTTCGAATTCCACAGAATACTTCGATCAGTAGTGGAATGGGACTCGCACAATGAACGGAAATTTGCAGAGCCATTCTCCATTAGTTTGGGATTGTTCTGTCAGCAAACAGATTATTTGAATCGAATGTTCATGATGCAGAACATTCTTATGTAGAAAAGAAAGTGAATACCATAGTGCTCTTCTAGTAGCCAAAATGTTGAGACTGTATCGAGTGCAGTTCTGTACAGTTTCTTTCCATGCAAAACCGAGAAATATTGTTCTGAAAAGACGTTTGGGTATGCAACTATAGATTGAACGCTTAAGATATCTAATAGGTTCAGTTGATCATTTATTCGTTGTCCATATGATGTGACTAAGGCTGCGACATTAAGAGAGAAAACCGTCAACTAGCGTTTTCGACGTTTTTGTCTCGTTCTGTGCCAATGATTCGATTCAGTTTGCAACTGGCGCTCTTCTTCGTAACGATCCTCTCTTTCGTTGCCGTTTGATCAAAAATCTTTTTGGTAGTGTTCCGTTCAGAAAAGTTCATGCGGCTTTTCAGGTACATACGCATAGAGTCGCTACCATGTTAGTCACCTGCTGATAGCGATTAATTTTCCGAGACAGTCCATCCGGCAGTAGCCAGTAGCATTACCAGTTAGCACATAGAATGACATAATTTCAGAAACTGATTTTCGTCAACCTCGGAATTGTCGGTCGATAGAAGTTCAATGCGATCTGACTAATATCACGAAAATGGCAGGAAAATTATCACTCTATCAAGAGAGCAACATATCGGATGTCTCAAATAATCCTTCTCAAAACTTTGTAGAAATGATACAATCCACTGAAGAGCTTACAAATGGGATGAGAATTCTCTATACAGGCTACACAATAATCAGTTCTCTCCTGCACATTCTGGAGAAATTAAGAGAAATTGATGAGGTTCCATAACATTTTTCTCGACTAGGAATTTTGAACGTTTGAAAGGGTGAATAAGGAAGCCTCAGCTTATTACCACTATCTGAGTTTTAGAGGGCGTCCATTCTACTTCCCAATCTCGGTACCATATTGGTACCATCAAACTGTAGCATTTTTGTGCCTCAAAACAAGGGATTTTGGATTTATGTTGTTGTTGCATCTGCTAGCAACTCTTACACGGCTTTTTTCATGCTTCCTCAAAATGGTGGAGTGTTGGTGACATCTTGTTCTCCCGCTTAATCTAAATCCTGAAGTGAAGTTCAGTAAATTTTAGTTTTGGCCAACAGTCGGCCTCTCCCAATAAAAACATTTGAGAGGTACCAAACTGGAAGAGCTAATACTGACATCAAAGCTGTACAGTTGCGATATCTCTCATCAGAAATCCATTGTCAGGAACGTTTCACGTGTTAAATTGCGCATGTTTTGTCAGTTAAGATCGTCCCATGCAGATTTTTCCAATTAAACTGCACTTCTGTGACTTTATAAAGGACTTCTTATTGCGTTGTAGCAGCCAAGACAAAAATCGGGTTTCACACTCGACGCGCAAAAATCTTGTAGTTCAGGCTCATATTGAATGTCTTCAGCCCTTCCAAAACGGCTAAACCCTAAATTAGGTTTCAAAGTCATACGCTACATTCGCATCAATTTATTTGATGAATCAACCGAGCGATCGATATCACAGCCCATAGCAGAGCAAAAAATGCGCGCCGAGGGTGAAATTAATATTCTTCCGGCCCATATTGCGCACTAAGATGTCTTTCTCAAAAGTAGAGTACACTATTACAATTGTCGAGATTCAAGCTATAGAAGCATCACTAGAAGTCTAAAGAAAAGCTCTTCTTAGCGGAAAATGCTTCAGTGTGTGAACATGATTTTTTCTCCTATTTCCCTGCACCAAAAAGTCATCCTGTAGAACCAAGTACACCACTGAAATTCTCGAGATTTGAGCTATCGAATGATTGCTAGACCTCCAAAAAAGCAGGAAATGCATTTTCTCGAAGGGTTGAAAGGGGTGAACATAGGGTAAAAGTATTTTCGTATTCTGTCACTTTAGCGGACAACGCATTTTGTTATTATCGTTCAGGGCCCATTGCGAATGGGAGATGAGTGCGTTCCGTTGAAGTCCGACTTTCAAAATGCAAAAAAAAATTTCAAATCAAAACAATTACTAAGAAAATTGAGTGGTGAACAAAAACACGGCCTCAGGCTGGAAATCGAACTCACGTTTCATTCTATCCGGGGACGCGTGCTCTACCACTACACCACTGAGGCACATTTGCCCGACCACTCATTCCCCGGATAGGATGAAACGTGGGTTCGATTCCTGCCTCAGGCTGTGTTTTTGTTCACCACCCAACTCTCTTAGTTATATAAGTAACATCATAACTCAGCGAAAAAAGCAGCGAAAATACTACAATTTCGAAGTATTATATATAACAGTGATTGTCAGCTTAACGGGATTTATAAAGCGAAATCGCATATCCGACCAAACCTCTTGAAGGTTGGCGGCTGTTAGCTAAGATAGAGATGTTGAAGAATGACTGGTCGGGCAAATGTGCCTCACTGGTGTAGTGGCAGAGCACGCGGCTCTGGATTTGATGAAACGTGGGTTCGATTCCCGCCTGAGGCCGTGTTTTTGGTCACCACTCAATTCTCCTTAGTTATAAATGTAACATCATAACACTGCGAAAAAAGCAGTGAAAATACTATATGTTCGAAGTATTATACAAAGCAATTACTCCAACTATGCGACCTCACTGACCTAATCAACAGTATGCTAAAATCAGCATTTTACTTTAATGAACGGTACATCCAAAAATGCAGAGCTATACTCGACTTATAGTCTAATCAGAAACTATTTCTACCGCATCATATTGTTCACCACTTCCCATCAGATGGTTGCCTCATAAGTAAATATCAAATATATAGAAGGTTTTTGACATTCACTTTTTTACATCTAATCAACTTTCAATACAGCACATGAGTGTTTTGACTGATTAGACATTTGTGCGCTATGATGTCTCGAAAAGTCACAATACCTAATTGAATAAAAGAGATTTTGTTATACGAAGTTGTGGAACTCTTTGAAGGAAAAAGGCAAAGTGTTCGTTATTGATCAATCTTGCCATGCTCCAAATACATCAAACGAAAGTCAGATGGCTTAGTGTATGTATGTTTTGTATAATGATCATAGGAGTTCTCAATCTATCAAATAAGTGCTAGTAACTTCTCAGAAGTACCTGGCAATGATGTATCGTCGTCGGATTGAGCAAGAATTGGATTAGCCCTAGAAACGAGAGACAATTGTCAAATCTGCCAGGTGTGGACGTGTAGGCGCGCTACGCACTCTCATATAGCATCTATATGACCTCGATATAAAAAACTGCAAAATCTATTTTGGTAAAATCTTAATAGTTTTCTAGAGCATCATTATTTCAAGACTGCAATAATGTTCAGTCACTTTATGTAGTCAAGCAAGCGAGTCCGACATGCTGCGTTCAGCTTCGCCTATATTAATAAAGTCGTTGGTAAGCTGTGGATGCGCATATTCTTGCAGTATCGGAGGACAGAGTTTTCCATACAAGTGAGGCTAAGTTTTGTAAAAATGCATAGTTCGATGGCACCATTTAGGCGATCAGTCAGTCTCCAGTCGCTTAGAATTGCTTGTAAATGAATCATCATTCTCTTTCAAGCTAATCAAATTATTAAGAGAGAGAAGTGGTTTTTTGCGGTGGTTAAGTGTACGCAAAAAAATCCACTTATCTCAGAGAACTGATTAAACGATAAGATTTTATGCTATCTGCGATGTTGCTTTTTCAGAATGGTGTACATCAAGGATGATGTTGTCTCTATCACTTTTTGATGCCATATTCCCTGAAAGCTCGTGCAGTCACACGAGTCGTCCTTTAATCTTTTTAGGAATGTTGTGGAAAAAATTCTGTTATACGAACTTTGAACGTCGGTGAAGCCATTTCCTCTAACAACGCCTAGAAGAATAAGATATAATAAGATTCGCGTGGAAGATAATTTTATTTTGGATTTAATAGCGTTATAAAAGAGTGTTTCGAAAAACCGACACTTTTCGCTCTAGGCAAAGGCTTCAACGTTAGAATGATACTAACATTCCTGTGCAAACTTTTTGTCCAGCGAATAATGTCGGTTTACCCTTGTTACCGGATAACGGTGAAAGCCCGTAGTATTTACATATCACTTAGAACAGTGTACTGTTACGAACTTTTATTTAACGCTTGCTCGGAATTTGTTTTTTTTAATGTTTTTGTGGATTTGGTTTTCTCAGACCTAGATACACCACATTATACCATGTCTCACCTATTGAATATATATATATAACCCTCGAAACTACGTGGTACGTTTCGTCCTACACCGCGCGACGTCAAATCTTCTCAGCTGACTCTATTCGCGGCGCCGCATCCCGTGAGAAAGGCGGCGCACTTCGTGAGAAGACAGGCGTCAAACACATGATGGATGGAAGTAGACAAACTCAGTTTCTGAGGGAGCATTTTCATTATGAGAAAATGGAATTTTATCGAAGAGCTTCTACAGAGATAATCTTTGTAAAAAGAGCGTATACATCTTCCATATTCCATCTACATTAGTTATATTTGAACGAGAAAACTATATCGCTGAGTAATAGCGATAATCATAATGATTCTCTTAGTGATAATAATTGTCACTGTTTTGAGGTGTTTGTGAGGTCTAAAAAGGTGCTCATATACTGGTAGACATTGCACTGACCAACAGTCGAACTTGTGGCTGGTGAAATGAATCATACTTTCATTTCATAATGATTGTAATTTTGGTAATGATAGTGAAAGTGATAATGATAGTGGTGATAATGATGGTGGTGATAACAATGATGGTGATAGTGATTTTAGTGATAATGATGATGGTGATATTGATATTGTTAACGACAATGATGGTAGTGATAATGCTAATGATAGCAATGATAAATATGTTGATGATAATGATAATAATGACTGCGATAGTGAAGCGATGAATGAAGTTCAAAGTTGAGGTAGATCAAAAAATTAATTTTATTGCAGTGTGGAAAATCATTTGATAAACAAGCTTTATTTTGTAATTGTTTATGCATGACCTTGTCGGCGTACTCCATTGCGTTTGTAGTACTCTCAGTGTTCTCAGAGTCTCAATCAGTTTACTGTAACGGCGGCCCTTCGTGTCGCGCGAATGAAGACACTCGTGGCAGCAGAGACACAGAAAACACAACATTCTCTCGGCGACGCAGATTTCTGTTCTCAAAGTGTAGCGCAGGCGACGGCACGACTTCGGCAGGATGTCGGCGGTGGTTTTCAGAGGTAATTAGGAGCAGAATTCAGTTCTGAATTTAATTAAAAGTTTTACGTAATTATCCGTGTGCTGTTCACACGCCATGAGCAACTAAAAATATTTAGGCCAGAAATTAAATCTGACGCCATTTCGTCGTGGTAGTCACACACTCTACTTTTCTAAATATTTCAAGAAGTTGCGAATTATATCGGAAAGTTTTCAGATTTGCGTGTGCTTTTTCTTGCGCATCAGGATTGTCACTGTCACAATCTTCACGGTTGTGTCTATGGGCCCTATATGTACCTAGAGGAGTACGTCCGAGCTTAAGATTCTGTCTAGTGCTCTTTTATGCAGATATAAAGTGGTCCTTCGATTTCGCTCATGTATCCATTTACAAATGCCCTAAAAGGCACCACGTATATTATTCTTAAACAGGTTCCGTCTACAAATTCCACATTCGTCTATTTTACATAGGTGGACACATAGACGGTTCTTAACCACTTGACGGCGTATCCCATAAAGCTGAATTCCAGAAACCTCACAGAGTTCTGTTAGAGTTTCAGAATTCTCACAGACTCCAAAATGAAGCAGTAACACCAGATTCTTCAGTTCATATTATAATAATGGCCCTGCTCCGCTCCCATCCCATTGGTTGGAGTTCGCCGGTTAACCGCTGTATCCCATTGATCCGGATGGAGACCATGGCAAAGCTGCTCTTTGCTGTTCGTCATTTCTTCAATCTAAACGACGCAGAGCTGCTTATTGAGTTATAATTAGCATTATGGATTCCTCGAAAAAGAGCCGATGATTCACCAGTGTTGAATTTGCTTTCTTCATGAACAGAAAATAATAGGATTTCGAGTTACAAGTCGAAGAATTTTGCTGTCACATTCAAATAAAAAAGAAATCGCATTCTTCTCGCGGGAATATAAGGCTACGCATATGGAGAAGTGAATACTTACCGCAACAAATTTCTACTGCACACTGTATAACCTCTGAGCAAAAATGATTCAAATAGCGCTCTCGAGTCGTTGTCATCTCAAGAGCAGCTCAGTGAACGTTAGAAATCTTCTACTGCTTAATGATTGAAATGTTGAAACGGTAATGAATAATATTTTGCCAGCAAACACTACCATGTGCGTTCAAGAAGATGAAAGCACCATATGAGTACTACCAAATTTTGTAATCTGCCGTTTTCAATTAAGAACAGAGCAGAATTTTGATTTTGTTCAACCATGATATGAGTTGTTGATGATCTGTTATAACAATGAAAAAAAAGCGCATGTGGCCCAGCGGATAGAGGTGCTCTGCGTCGCACACGAGGTCAATGGTTCAATCCCGCGCTAATGACTCACCAAGCCATCCATCAAACCGGGGAAGATATATTGGTACCAGACTAGTCTCAGACTTGTCTGAGAGGATAAGATGCTTTGACTCGGTTCAGCGGTAGGTCACCGCGAGTCCACTGCAAAGGCCAGATGTGCATTAGCTAACCTCAAACGAAGTTAGAAATTGAAGACGAATGCATGGCGCATCCCTCAAGGATTAATCAATGCCAAGAGCTTTATTCTTTATCCTTTTTACATCAATGAGCTTACACAATTCTAAGGCCACCAACTCGACGGTTTTGCCTTCATCAGAGCTATTGACAGTGATTGTTCCACTTACGGACTTTGTCTTTGAAATTACCACATTGGAACAAATCGAGTAGAATGGACTGCTGCATAAATGAAACAGTGTTTTAGCGTTTTTCTTTCGTAATAAAAAAAAACAATTCTTATACTATGATTTTCGAGAAAGCAGTTGCATAATCAGATTAATTAAATCTTGTCGATTTATAACAATTTTGTACTGAAGTACCAAAATAAGGATGTAGCGAAACAGTTCCTCGTTTAACATTCTGTTGAGGAAACGGCACAGACTGTTTAATCAGCTCCACTCGGCGCATGAGAAAATCATAAAGG